ATTACCATAAACTTAGCGTCTTCTTTCATCTTCCTGTGGCTAGAATGGCTTGAACGCATACTTTTTGGATGGTTTCAATCTATGCTGCGATCGAAGTATCTTCTTCGATGGTTTCAGGAATTCGTTTTTTACCTGCTAGAGAGGTTCAAAAGAGTATAACGAAATGTTACCAGTTCGCCTTTAAGGTGACTACACCGTAACATTTCGTGATACTTTTCTGAACCTCTCTAGCAGGCTAGTGCCTGAATGGTTCTAAACATTTGTCCAGAACCACAGAGAAGATAATGACTTTGTGGCCGAATTGTTAGACTTTTGTTCACTCCCCAGTATTCTATTTTCCCTAGTAGTGCTATGTTGCAAGGAGTGACGTCTTTTATTTTGCTGCGGTCTGTCTCTCCCGTGTTCAAGATCTAAAGATCCATCTTGTTGACGACGGCACTGCATCCTTTTCATGTCTTGGAGTAAGTGCTTATTCTGAGCTTGCAAGTACTTCACTATTTCTGATTTTGAACCGCTTTCTAGTTCCTCCCTTCCTCACTCTTACTCTCGTCTTTTTTGTATCTAGGGCTTCCTTTAGAGTCTCCATAATCTTGTCGTCGGTGTTTTAGGAGTTCGCCGTTGAGATGTGTGGGTGTGAAGGTGTGGCTTGGTTTGAGTGAAGATTTCGCCTTTACTTTTTCGGGGTTCGTAGGAAATGGCCCTTACGACTTTACTTCTATGGCAAATTCCGCTACCAAGTGCAACACTCGAGACGGGATTTTTTTCCTAAACTAGCGCTGTCTTCATTTCAGGCATTAAGGCATTGGGCGAGGGGCTGTAAGTGATCCGTTAAGTTTTCGGGGCTGGGTTATTTATATTATTGTTATTTCTCTTATTGCATTATTATCTCGTTGAGGTATTGCAACGCAGTTTCTGCTGGAGTCTGAGGCTTAAACTCCAACAGGCTTTCTCGTATCTTCCTAGACAAGCTTTGTGGATACCTGAATATTCCAGTTGCCTGGAGAAGGACTTAGCCGTCTGTAGGAAGATGGTTATTCTCTTTCAGTCGTTGTCTTTGCTTTGGCCAACAGTGTTCTGCATTGGTTTCAGCTATGCCTTTGCGTTTTGTTAAAGTTATACTTGAGTTAGTCGGAAATTCCCACAATTTTGTGAATAGTACAGCAGCTGAACTAGGCGATCGCACCACGTCAACATTGAGGTTTTGTGATACGTTATAATTTAAACGTATATACCGTCCTATACATTTATTAATAATTGTTCATTGGATGTAGGATTCCTAAATACTTTTTTCTTGTCTATTTGTTTGTCTCCGTTATTATATAAACGCATATCGTTGTATTTTTTGTTATTGTTTTTAACAGAACTATATGTATATATATTTGTTGGAACCGTCATGGTTTAGAAGTGAATCTTCAGACATCGTTTGGGCGATTTAGGCATCGTGCAATAAGATTACAATTAATAGTAACACTGTAGATTTTAATCACTATGAAATTGAGTAACAAGTTATATTTTCTATTAATTTTAACGATCATAATAGGGACTAAACGTAGCACACTCCCGTGACGACGACTACATTGCGTGGCGACCCGATCGAAAAGTGTGTCCGATCGTGGCTGCCAACAATGTCACGACTGTTGTAGCGCGGGAAACGTAATTGTGCGGATTGCACCGCTAGGTGGCGCGCTTGCGTTCCGTTTAGTGTCCGTACTCATTGCTGTCTTCGACATATTTATTAAATGCAAAGAATTTGATGTTCCATTCTGAATTTCACGCTGGGTTTCAATAGCACATAAAGATTGACACTTTGGATAAAATAAACTTAACACATTGACACAAGTTTGACGTGGTCTTGACATTGCTTAATAGAGCTCAATAACTGAGGTGCTCAACATGTAGAAATTGAATGTAATTTACGTAACAGAAACTATTTGGGATAAATATAGATAAATAGTTCTAGTATTGTAGTTGATAGTTTTGGTTTTTGATATTTCATAATCTCAAAAATTGGAAATATCATAGATTGTTATAAATGATTATCAGAGATCTGAATATGATACTCAACCTTTTTCATTCTTTGGGCCACATCACACATGTTTGCTATGTTAGACGGGCCGCAACGTTCTTGGGTGATGACCTCTTTCTTACGTTAGTAACCTAGAACATTTACACCGCATATAATTAATCAAACACACAGCCTAAATAAGTCTAAACGTTTATTAAAAAATTAGTGTGTTATTTGATATCGTACGAATTTTTTAAAAAATGGTTGCTATTTTACACGATGGCTGGGTTAGAGTATATTTACTAAACAAGGTTGATAATACCTCCACCTGAAACTCGGATTGTTTTTTTTTTTACGTGTTACTAGAATGTTCTTTACTATGGTAGTATATAAAAGACAAGTTCTGTAAATAATAAGTTTTTTTTTTTCAGAAGGAGATATTATTCACTCTATTCCTTACTTATCATAACTAAAGTAATCGAAATTTTTAGCGGAATTGAATTATTAACGTATTTAGGCTGGTACCCTTTAACGATTTTTTGTAGTCTTGTTTAGTTTTACTGATTTATACTTAAACTAATTTTACACATTATTTGATTTTAAATTCGGAACTTAATCGTGTATAAAAACATATTTTTTAATACAGTTGCTCAAAACGTGGTACTTTCCGTACTATCGTGCCGAAAGTTGGATATTTTCGCATTATTGCTTTTTACGTTTCCATTTTTTTTTTAAATTTACTGTTGTTTGAAATCTTAAACATAGAACTAAAGAGGTTGTATATTTATTTAATATTTATGTGCTTTGTGACGTAATTCATACGTCATTAAAAGTTATAGTTACTTACAAACATCTTATTTGTTTAAATTGCATAGGTGTTTTATAAAACAACGTTTAAAAATACCAAAATATTTTCCATAAAGATGGCTGATTGAGTATTAACAATGACCGGAGGTGAGTATTACGCCAGACCGCTGCGCGCTGGGCCACTACATATACTGTTTTATTTTACTTTCAATGTAGTTTTTTCGCAAATGTATTAAAAAAACGTCGTTTGATACACGAGCGGATTTGTCATTTTCACTTGTCTCGAGTCTTGACTCTCGCCTCTGGCGCGGGCCAAGACTCGAGACAATGATGGCAAACTTCCGCAATTGTATCAAAAATAACTATTATTTACCTCGATGTTTCGGATATATTGCAACTTGTTAACCCTAGTGCACAAATGAAGACCAAGTGCGAGTTTTTCTGGGTAGTCAGAATGGCTAGAAGATGTTTACACTCGCCTCTTCAGTTCCTTCGCGACCATGACCTTTGCAATACGTCCGAAATGTGGTTAATAAAATATGTTTTTATACGCGACTAAGTCCCAAATTTAAAATCAAATCATTATATACTTCTTTTCATACTTCGGTTCACACCGCGAACTAAGCTAACCGAGCTAATTAAACTAACCAAACGATCTCGCTAGCTATGTAAAATATGTCGCCCTTCTGCCGTTCTTCACCCCCGCACGTGGATGTGTATATAAGAAAATAGTGACTATGGATATAGTCACTACTTAGTAAGTACTTTCTTAGCGTAGCTTTGCATGCAACTACGTGAGCGAAGCTAAGTTAGCTTAGCATCGTTCGCCTGCGCTTTATAATTATGACAAAGAGGGCAGTATGTATATGACTACTATTCCGATATCTGGTAATCATTTATTAATTATATGTATTGTGTCGTCTACTACGAATTATTCTCGTTGTTATCGCTTATATAAAATATGCCAAATTGAAATTGCCATATTATTATGCTTTTTTCTTTTAGTGTCATAAGTCATAACGTTCTGGTAGACCTGTAGAATAAGATAGAAAATATAAAAACTTTGTTATAATATTCCAGTAGATTTAAAGACTGTATAATCTTGTGGCTTCATTAACACATACGTGTCTTGTCAAATAGCTCAATTTTATTATTATATTTGTTGTGTATTAAATTAGATGTATATTATGTGAAATTTCTAGTTAATTTGTTTTTATTTTTGTGAAATAGCTCCACTAGTTTGTTATAATTATTAAATACAAAGATTGAACACAAAGAAAAATTCTATGAACCCGACAGGCCTCGAACCTGCAACCACGGGATTCCGTCCTCATCGCTCTTCCAACTGAGCTACGACGAAATTCTTCTGTGTGTGTTATATTTTTCTACGTCGTAAGCGATATTTGTCAGAGATTTTATGAACTTTCACACTCAGCTTTCTAGTTAATTTTTAGTTCCTATTCTTCCGTTATTGATGAGATTATTCTTGATCCTACTTAGGCAGTATCATCACCCTGTATATATTCCGATTAAAGGTCAATTTACATCACCGCGGAATGGTATGGAAGTGAATTTTTGTAACAATAGCATAATGATGTCAATTGTGTAAAGTACAAACTAGATACGAGCTAAAAATCAGGTCGATTCTTGCAGTCTCAGGAATTTCTTCAGCTACCGTATCGAATCAGGTTTACATTGTGTTATGAAAATTCGCGTCCATTACATTCCACAGAAATGTAAAAAGAGCCTTAAGAGTGTTTATGATAGACTGGTTGTTTCAATAAAACAAAGCAAATACCAGTTCAAGTTGACACTCGTAAAGGGTCACGCTGTAAGCGGCAGACGCTCTAATGTGAAATATAAGTGTATTGTATTGTTCATGCTCATTTGTTCGTTTGTATATCAATTACAAAATAGTTAAGTGAACCATAAACAGTGCAAATCGATATTATACGTATATTATGAGTATTGCTTTTTATTGGATATCTATTGTATAACTTCATTTCATTTTTTGTAAAATTACTCCACTAGTTTGTTATACTTAATTATTATTATAAAGATCGAACACAAATAAAAAATCCTTCAACCCGATAGGACTGAACCTACGTCTATGCCAAATGGGCCACGTGGAAGGTTCGATTGTATTAATAATTACACGAGTCA